CAGATTCTCACTAGCAATTACTGTTGTCCATGTTCTGGATTTTGGCCATTCTGATGTGTGCTATGTGTGTGTGTGTACACTCGTGCCAATCTTGGGGTTTGAACTTAGGCATAGGGCTACCCCTGAGTTTTTGTGCTCAAGACTACTAGTGCTCCATCACTTGAGCCATAGTTCCGCTACTGGCTTTTGGTGGTTAATTGGAAATGAGTCTCACAGGCTTTTAGGCCTAGGCTGGCTTTGAACCATGATCCTTAAATGTTTGCTTTCTGGGTAACTAGGATTACAGGTATGAGCCATCTGCACCTGGCTCTTTTTAATCTGCAATTCTTTTATGAAATATGATGTGGAACATTTTTTCATATGCTTGTTTGCCTTATGCTCTTTGATGTCTTTTAAAGCCTTTAGCCAACTTTTAAAATTGGTTTGCTTTCTTTTTATTGTTGAATTTTACGAGTTCTTTACCTATTTTGGGAGCTTTGAGAGACTTTTACTGATCTGTAATTGCACTAAATTTTAAAATCATCATGTATTATTGGAATGAATGATAAATGTATTTGTGTTGTTGAAAAAGAACAGATGTGAAGCCCCTTAGCATAGAACATGGAATGTATATGTTTAATAATATTATTTGGATTTATTATTTTTTTTGGGTTTGGTTGTGGGGCCTGAACTCTGGGCCTGGGCACTGTCCCTCAGCTCTTCAGCTCAAGGCTAGCGCTCTACCACTTGAGCCACAGCACCACTTCCGGCTTTTTTCTTTTTACTTATGTGGTGCTGAGGAATCAAACCTAGGGCCTCATGCATGCAAGGCAAGCGCTCTACCATTGAGCCACTTTTCCAGCCCCTATTTGGATTTAAATCTAAATTAATCTATATATCTCAGGACATTTCATATAAAAGGATGAAAAGTACAGGCATCTTTTTAAATTTACTCCCAAATAGTAGTGTTTTTCTGTTTGTTAATGCAAGTGAGAAAGAAGACTTATTGTGAGATTTGGAAGAGGCAAAGCTAGAAAGGCAGCTAGGAAGATAATTAGAGACTTTTGGTGGACAGAGGAAAAGTTGGAGTTTTATTCTGTAAGCAATAAGGAGCCACTTGAAGAATTAATTAAGACAGTACCATAATCAGAGCTATGCTTTAGAAAGATCATTTCTGTTGTAGCGTATGAAAGGAACAAAGGACCAGAGCCACCAAGAACAACAATTATGCAAAGGCCTTTCAGTGGGAAGAACTAATACCCAAACAGCATAATAATCCAGCACCTGGCATCTGAACCTTCTGTGGGAGGTTACAGAAGGGTCAAAAGGACTTGGCTCATCTGCTGTTTAAGAAGCCCTGAGGCCCACATGAGTGCAATGAGCTTGTAACACTCCCTAGTGTAATAAATATACACATGTGCCCCTAGGCCTGATTTGATTTTAATGTTTTTTTTTAAATCCTCTTCTCTCATAGTTGCCAGTTTAAAAATGCCCTAGATGTTAATTGCCAACTGAACAGAAGAAGGATGTGAGTGATTTGCCTTAGACCACAACAAGGTCCTCATTATAAGAAGTCTGGAGAGGGACCAATGAGAAAAAAATACAGGTGCTCAATAGAAGGCATTAAAAAAAATAGGAGGCTTAGAGCAAAAGTAGGATTCTTGGATGTGTGAATTAAGACCTTGGGAGAG